CTACAATTTCAAAATGAAAACAGAAAAAACAACTCCGGAAATCAAACAGAATTTAGAGAAAGTGTAAGTATGAGGAGGAGGACATGAAACCTTAACAGAGAGAATTTTTTGGAGATGTGGGTGGGGTGGATTTAAAAAGAGGAGAGAAAGAAAGTCGACGGATGTCTAATACATAAAGATACATTTCGTGGTGACATATACACTACAGACAATTCGGATAGGAAGGAAAAAAAAAAAAAAAAAAAAGGAAAGGGTGGGGAGAGAGATGGGACGAAGGAAAATAAAATATATATATATATAAAGGGAAGGGGTTATAATAGTTCCACCGACAGAAAAGTGTACATATACAGTGTAACCCGGATGTAAGAGAGTTGTCAGGACTGGAGAAGAAGTTTCTTATATCCGGGTTTCTCTTATATCCGGGTTTCTCTTATATCCGGGTTTGGTCTATTTTGTTTAGGTAAGTATGGGCTCTAATTTGGGACCAGAGAAAATCTCTCTTATATCCGGTTTTCTCTTATATCCGGATCTCTTATATCCGGGTTACACTGTATATTAAAAAGAAGGGAGAAACGTTTTTAGTTGTTATGTGGATCTTTTTAAAAATATATTATACTTTATTGTCCATAATTTTGCTAGACGAGTTTCCGGTCCCACGGACTTCAGCATTCAGAGTAGAGATTTCCACAGATTATTAAAAGGGATTAATTTTTATCATGTTTTCTCGATGTTAAATATTCTCAATATTAGGCAATATACAAAAGGCGACCATCAATCGCCTCTCAATCTCTCGAAGTTAAAAAACGAAGCAACTTTTGCTTTGGGATCTGGGCATTCTTCTTTAATATTTATTATTGTTTTGGTGGTTTGGTACTAACATGAAAAAAAAAAATTAAACTAAGTCTTAATAAAGTAAAAAGCTATAGCGAGCTTTATTTTTGTAAAATTAATTTAAATAAAATATAGTCAAATTCGAAAAAACAAATATTCAACAGGACTAATTATGTGATCGTTAGTTTACACACGCAACTGTTACACAAAAAACGTATATCTATAATATATATATATATATATGTGTGTGTGGCTGTGTTATATATATAGATTATTATTATTGTATTATTATCATTATTGATGTAGTTAATGCTGAGATTTTTACGATTTCAGTTTATCGCGTAATTTTTTTAAACGTTTCCGTTTGGGACAATCTCTCTATCTCTCTCTCTCACTCTGTATATAATTAGTTGGGCTCTTATGTCCATCGTCTTTTGTGTTAAATTGTTATAAGTTATAATGTTAATTATGTTTAAATGAAAATGTCCATGAAGATGGTCTTAAATAGACCGAAACGTCCGACGTCGACTTTATTTTAACATTAATAATGCATATTCAGAATTTTGTTTTTTTCAGTATTTTTCTTTCATACTGTCGGATTTATATCCATATATTTGCTTACATATATATATATATGAGAGTGTCAGTCAACATATCTATCAAAATTTCTATCTCATTTCATTCATTTATCTCGATCTCTCATATATATATATATATATATATATATATATATATATATATATATATATATATATATATATGTGTGTGTCTCTATCTATGTATCTAGCCCAGCCTGCATATATATATATATATATATATATATATATATATATATATATATATATATATATATATATATATATATCTCTCATATCTGTTAATAATTATCTATCGATTCACCTATTCTATACAGCTTACTTCCTATCAGTGAAAATCATAGCTATCAATCTCTTTCATCTTGCGAGCTGGCTGTGTTTACCTTTCTGTATATCTATTGATCGATCTCAGCCTGTTCATATCTATCTATCTATCTATCTATCTATCTATCTATCTATCTATCTATCTATCTATCTATCCGTTTATCTACCAGCTTGTTCATATCAATTTATCGCTTTCGATTCACTTGCCTTTTTATCTATCTCATGAATTTCATCTATCTCTCTCTCAGTATATATATATATATATATATATATATATATATATATATATATACCCTGACGATCCGTTTAGGTGAAACCTAGGTAGGTTTGCCTGGCTCATTAGGTTTATCTTATATATATATATATATATATATATATATATATATATATATATATATATATATATATATATATATATCTGTGTGTGTGTGTGTGTGTGTGTGTGTATGTATGTATGTATATATATATTGTGGTAAACCCTCTAACAGTATAATGAACTCTTCCCCCTCTCATAAATACAAACTGCGAGAGTCGGACAGAGAAGTGGAATGGAGTAATAGACGCAGTGCTAATCTACTTCTTACTAACACTATTGTTTTGTATATATCTTCAATATACTTTGTCAACCTACCTTCGTCTTCCGTGTCTTTCTTTCTGGCTCCTAAACAGGCCACAACAATATATATCAGCTTATTCATATCTATCTATCTATCTATCTATCTCACCCTGTTCATTATCTATCTATCGATCTATCTATCTATCTATATTTTCTATTGTGTTCTATTCTATATTTTTTTCAATTCTATCCCGTTCACACTTTTCCCATCAATCAGTGTCTATTCATATCTATCACGTTCGCTGGCTGTGTTTATCGGTGATGTTTCAAGACAACATTAAGAAATACTAAATTGAAAAGATCGTAGCGAAAACTAACGGAAACGCAAAAGCCATGAGTAAATATTACATGCATTGAAGTGCCTTACAAGTGGCCTGATTGAATTTTTAAATAAACTTTTATTTAACGAGCAAAATGGAAGGTGAGGTTTTCCGCTGAAAACGCCAGTCCTGCATAAACCATCCGGCAAAGTCATCAACACAGATGGATTTCTCATCAGCAAAGTACATGTGTGGTTTCACTTTCAAATATATATTTATATATACAAATATAATTACAGATACAGACAGATACATCAAGAGACAGGCTGATGGACAATAGCAGAGTGAGATGACATTAGATAGATAGATATAGAGGTAGATAGATATATAGATAATGAACAGACAATTATTGAATAGAAAGAATATATATATATATATATATATATATATATATATATATATATATATATATGTAACCCGGATATAAGAGAAACCCGGATATAAGAGAGATTTTCTCTGGTCCCAAATTAGAGCCTGTGCTAATGTATATAAAATAGATTAAACCCGGATATAAGAAAAACTCGGATATAAGAGACTTCTTCTCCGGTCCCGATAACTCTCTTATATCCGGGTTACACTATATATATATGAAAGTTGTCGGGACCGGAGAAGAAGTCTTATATCCGGGTCTATTATATCCGGGTTACACTGTGTGTATATATATATATATATATATATATATATATATATATATATATATATATATATATAATTGTGTATTAGGGCAGCAATGCGTCTTTTCTAGAAGTTTCAAGTTAATGTGGTTAAGATTTTATTTCATTTTTCTTGTGTTCTTATAAGAAAAGAAAAAAAAATTTAGGAACAGAAGGAAAATTAAATAAAAACCTTACCCGGTGCACATTATCAGTAGTTTTTAATGAAACTTACATACACACACACACACACACATATATATATATATATATATATATATATATATATATATAGACAAGGATGACCAGGTCTAAAAAGAGTCTACTCAAAAGCTGCTTACTCACAAAAAAAGTGATCGATGGCCGAAGAAATTGCAGACCATCAATATTAAATAAAAATCCCGGTAGGCAGTGACCGGCCACGACTGCCTAGTTTCATGCGTTTGCACGCAGTCATCAGGCAACCGCCTGCCTGAAAATTGCGTACAAACACACACACACACACACACTTATATACATATATACATATATATATATATATATATATATATATATATATATAAATTGAGCACTTATCTCAAATATAGCACACTTTAAAACTTTATCTCTTCATATTTACATATATATATATATATGTATATATATACATATATATATATATATATATGTATATACATACATAAATATATATATATATAGATAGATAGATAGATAGATAGATATACAAACATTAATACAAACGCATTTATACTAGGCACTTCATATTTGAAACAGACGCCGCTTCCCGCTTATCATTTATTTATTATATGTCAATCAACCTTCCTATGCGAGAAATCTAATTAAAGAAAATGTGTCCCCTTGCGGGTTTTGAACCTGCGTAATTTTTCTACATGCATATTATATATATATATATATATATATATATATATATATGCGAAGATCATAGAAAATTATATTTGTCGAAAACAAAACGGATGGAAATTTCATAATAAGGAAAACGAATTAGCAGATGTTTTTCATTTTTTTTTTCACTTCCGGTCTCAGCTGCATGGTATCCGCTAAGATGAGGACAGAAGGTGACCACTTGTTTATCTGGGAACGATTTAGAGCACGAGCCACCATGTACAAACACTGACAAAGGTCAATAATAAAGATACAGACACAGATACACAAATATATATATATATATATATATATATATATATATATATATATATATATATATATATATATATATATATATATATATATATATATATGTGTGTGTGTGTGTGTGTGTGTGTGTGTGTGCAAGTTTGTTTGCAGAGATACAATAAGGCCGGAAATGACGGGATCAAATGAAGGGCAACATTAATGAGGAATAAGTCGGAGATTTCTTGGCCATGTTTTAAAATTGTGAAGCATGTATCTCTTGCCTACATCGACGAAATAAAACCTCATTTAGATTATTCAACATATTTTTGGAAAATAAAAACTTGCAGCAAGTAGTTTCATGGCATATATATATATATACGGTGGAGTAATGGATAGCGGCTTGGATTGAGGAATCGCAGAGCCGAGTTCGAATTCCAGTCGAATCCATTACATTCACTTACGTGCTAATACCCTTGGGAAAGGTATGAATCTTCTTCTTCTCCATCCAGCTATGGGTAAAATAGCAAAACAGATTGGGTTCTGTAGCCTTGGATGGCAACTGGTCTAGGAGAAGGACAACTCTCAATTCAAAACCTGCGGAGGGTCGTTTGGGGATCTTGTGGCACTTAGTGCACCAGGTTTCTGTATTCGTCCCTTCAAAATCTGTCGATGGTCCTGCACGAAGCCTTCACCACTATAATCAAATCTCATGTGTCGTTGTCGGGCTGTCGGTTTCCTGGAAACTGATCTGCTTGATCCTCATACGTCGAATTCGACGGGAGAGTCGACTATATATGTATATATAAAGAGATAGATAGATCTTACTTTAAACCTTATTTTTAGTGCATAATTAAAAAATTGAGTAGACGTGCTGTTTTTTTATTAAACATGTTCTTAGATAAAAAAAAAACAAAAAACTGTAGGATGGATAAATAAAAATTCATTACGATAGCTAGATAGATATGAACAGAGTGAGATAGAGAGATTGATAGATAGATTGATAGATATATAGATAGATAGATAGATAGATAGATAGATATTACCTTATTTTTGGTGCATAATTTAAAAAAATGAGTAGACGTTCCGTTTAGTTATTAAACATGTTCTTAGATAATAAAAAAACAAACAAACATACTAGGATTGATAAATAAAAATTTATTACGATAGATAGATAGATAGATAGATAGATAGATAATGAAAAGACTGAGATAGATATCTAAATAGATATATAACATTTGAATAAATTATGAACGATAGATAGATAGATAGATATGGACAGACAGAATTGGATAGATAGATAGATAGATAGATAGATAGATAGATAGATAGATAGATGAAGAGACTGAATTAGATAGATAGATAGATATGAAGAGACTGAATTAGATAGATAGATAGATAGATATGAAGAGACTGAATTAGATAGATAGATAGATAGATAGATAGATATGAACAGACTGAGATAGATAGATAGATAGATAGATAGATAGATAGATAGATAGATAGATAGATATGAAGAGACTGAATTAGATAGATAGATAGATAGATAGATAGATAGATAGATAGATAGATAGATAGAGTTTGCGTAGAAGTGTTCACCATTGTGAATATTTGAGTCCCAAAATCAGCATTTCCTTGACATAAGCCTTATTTATTTGGCAGGAGTCTACAAGTGTGGACCGTGTACATAGTATCGAAGGCCGTCAATGAAACCTGAAACGAGCAAAACCTTGCTACTGGATTTTTTTTTGTTTTCTTTTTATTTGTTTTTAATTGTTGGAGCAGTTATTTTTTTTTTTTTTATAAATTCATATTATCCAACGAAATAAATATTACTTATATTCCTGTCACGTATTTTTATATTTTGTTGTCGAGAGAGAGAGAGAGCGAGAGAATGATTTAAAGAGAGAAAGAGCAAATCTTTCGTCTTGTGGTAGAAAAGAGAGAAAGATAGAAAGACAGCGATAGAGAGAGAGTGTGTGTGAGAGAGAGAGAGAAAGTGTCGGAACGTAGGGTGCCGGTCATCTCTTTTCTGTCATGAGCTTTTTAATCGTCACTATCTGACCTTTCCCGATAGGGCCGTAATGTTGGTGATATTTAGGCAGACAGGGCGGAGTATTAGAGATTCGAAAACTAAAAGAGACAGACCGCAAGCTTATTTTCGCTTTAGCTTCTTTTTTCTTTTCTTTTTTTCTGTTTTTACACTCACTTAATTTTAAATGTCGCTAGTTATACACTTGTTTCAAGGGTTGACAACTGAGGGGGCAAAGAAGAGGGACACAGGGACGTTTGACGGAGAAGGAAGCGACGGAAGGTCACTTTTCAACAGCCATTTCCCGCCTACACACACGCAGGCAAATAATCTTTACTTACTTCTTTTGTAACTAATCCAAAAGGTATAGTGTATCCCCTCCTCCACATTAACACAATCTACCAACAAACAACTGATTTGGATAGGACTTGAAACTTGAAATAACCTGAGTGACGTTAATTTCCTAAAAATATTTGCTAAAAACGAATAAAAAAAAAAGAAACATTGCTTCCATCAATAAATGAAAAAAAGAGACAGGTAATTCCTGCTTGTCTGACACGATATTGCAGAGCACTCACTGAATCTCGAACATGCAATATAGGAATGATGCCCCGTTATTCTGCTACAGTGGCGATTATAGAAAAACGAAGTTGCCTAAATCGAGATTCATTGAAAACGTAAACAACAACAAAGATACAAATATAGATGGAAATAATAATAGCGGAGATAGATAGATAGATAGTGAAAATGGTGAGATAGATAGATAGATAGATAGATAGAAAGAAAGAAAGAAAGAAAGAAAGAAAGAAAGAAAGAAATGCACACATAGATAGATAGATAGATAGATAGATAGATAGATAGATAGATAGATAGATAGAATGAAATGAACGCATAGATAGATAGATAGATATAGGAAGAGGCAGATATATAGAGAGAGGTAGATAGCTATCAAGATCGATGGATAGATAGATGGTTTGATGGATAAATATAGAGAAAC